GTACCATTGATGACAAAGAATCTGATATCTCTTAGTCTTTAGGACAACAAGGGGTTCAGTTGGTCAGGAAAAGATGGAGTTTTGCGCGTCTGGAAGGATTCAAATCTGATTCTGAAAGGTGTCATGCGGGGTACTTTGTATTTTCTACAAGGTTCCACGGTTATAGGTTCAGTCCATATTGCATCATCAGAAGTTAAACAGGAAGATATGACCAAGTTGTGGCAAATGAGACTTGGTCATATGGGTGAAAAAGGGATGCAAATTCTGTCAAATGAGGATCTTCTTACTGGTCATAAGGTAAAGAGCCTAGAGTTCTGTGAACATTGTGTTTTTGGAAAATTACATCGTAACAAGTTTCCAAAGGCTATTCATAGAACAAAAGGCACATTTGATTACATCCATTCTGATTGTTGGGGTCCATGTCGAGTTGAGTGGAAAACATTGATGGAAAATCAAACAGGGAAGAAGATCAAGAGGTTGCGAACTGATAATGGGCTGGAATTCTGTTGGTCTGAATTTGATCAATTCTGTAAGGATGAAGGGATTGCTTGATATCGTACAATTAGAAATACACCACAACAGAATGGTGTAGTTGAGCGGATGAATTAAACACTTCTGGAGAGAGCAAGGTGCATGCTCTCTAATGCTGGGCTAGACAGAAGGTTCTAGGAAGAAGCGGTTAGTACAGCTTGCTACCTGACTAACCGCGGACCACATACAGGCATTCAGTGCAAGAAACCTATGGAGATGTGTTCAGGAAAAGCTGCAGATTATTCAAACCTGAGAGCTTTTAGCTATACAACTTACTATCATGTTAGTGAAGGTAAGCTAGAACCACAAGCTAAAAAGAGAGTATTTGTGGGCTACGGAGACGAAGTGAAACGTTTTAGAATCTGGTCTCCAGCAGAAAAGAGGGTTATTCTGAGCAGAAATGTTGTCTTTGATGAAAGTTCTCTGTTTAGAACCATTGTGAAGCCTATAACTATGACAGAAATTGATAGTCTTGATAAACATGTGGAGAGGTCCAGATCCGGAGAGTGATATGAAAGAACTTGAATCTGACCCGTTACTGCTCCGGATCTGGAGAGGTCCAGATCCGGAGATGTCCGACTTCCGAGAAATCTGAATTTCGAAGAAATCGAGAAATCCGAATTCCGGAGAAGTTGAGAAATCCGAATCTTGAGAGATCCAAATCCTGTGATGACCGAATCCTTTTCTAATTGGGCTTCTAATTATCTGTTAATTCTGTAGTTTGGGGCCCAAGTCTGTTAGGGTTTAGCCAAACACTATTTATATGGGTGCTACTACAAACCCTATGTTGTATTCTGTTTTTGCCTCTCCATCCGAAATAAAACTGCTCTCCCTCTTCCCCGTGGACTAGCCAACACAACATTGGTGAACCACGTTAAATCTGTTGTCGTGTTTTTTTTTCTCGTTTATTTTTGTCATTCTCAAATTCCGCATAACAGAGAAGTTGGACCAAACGTTCTTTGGGCATTTCTGAACCATCACCAGAGTGGGAAAAGAAGCATACAAGATGCAGTCTTCTTCTTAGCATTGATTCCCGATATAATTTATGATGGAGTATGGACTACTAGATTGGGTAATAAGACACTTGGGTTGAACCACATTAAAAGATTGAATCCAATCGATTAGTTAGTTCAATTCAAGAGCTTATATACCGATTATTTTACTCTTGGACATCCGATGTGTGATGCACTGTAACACTCCCCCTTATGTGGACAACCGTGTCATTTTGAATCTAACCGGTTGACCACTTGCAAATGAACTCTCATTCCCTTGACTTTTTTGAGCGCCAACACCTAAAGGACCACGAGTCGCTGGGTATGGACTTCCAGACAAGCAATCATGTTAAACGGGCCACATGCCGTTGGGTACATACTCCATACGAACAACTGGGCTAAAGACTAACGGGCCGTTAGGAATGAGCATCTAGACAGACACCTTGACAAACGAGGTGGGTCAAAACCTGCTCTAATACCATGATAGAATTTAGGATGGAGTATGGACAACTTGATTGGGTAATAAGACACTTGGATTGAAACACATTAAAAGATTGAATCCAATCGATTAGTTAGTTCAAGTCAAGAGCTTATATACCGATTATTTTACTCTTGGACTTCCGATGTGTGATGCACTCTAACAAGTCCAATAACCATTCTCAACTAGAAGTTCTTTGGAAGAATTCAGAAACATATGCTCGTTAGGAGAATTTGGAACCCAGAGGTTGTACTTCCCAGGGGAACTCTCGAAAGAGCAAAAAAATGGTCTTGGGCAGTTTCTGGGTAAAATGGATGGGAGCTTCAGAAGAAATGCTACATGTGGGTGGTTGGATGTTTTTGCAATGAGGGATTTACACTATGTTTGGTTCAAGGAATTTTGAAGGAAAAGAAAAGAAAATGCTTTTCTCTCATTTTCCTCATCAAAATGGGAGGAATTTAGTTTTCCCTCCACTTGATACATTTTGCCTTCTCATTTTCTTTTCTTTCCACTTTTCCTTTCTAACCAAACAAGAAAACTTGCTTTCCACTTCATTTTCTTTTCTTTTCCATTTTGAATTCCTTGAACCAAACATAGTGTTAGAGTTCAATCTTTGAGGAAAGAGCTTTAGCTAAGGTGGAAGGAATGATTTGGGCCTTAGGCCTTAATCTTTGATACTTACTATTTTACCCTTTCCTATTTTCCTTCTCTATTTTACTTCTTGTGTATAGCCTTTATATAAGGCACTTATCATTTGGTATATGGAACGATTAAGACTACCCCCCCCCAAATGTCTCTATTTCTCTTATAGCTCATATTCTCTCTCTTTTCTACCGTTGCAAGCCTCGAGATTCTCCTTCTCATTTCGAGAAGTCTCCACACTCTGTAACATAATTTCGTCAAAATATCTGTTAGCTACTCAGAAGATGGAACATGATGGGTAAACATTGTGACATCTATGACTTCATCTTTCACAAAGTGCAATTAGAGCGAACATGCTTCATATGATTATGTAAAATAGGTAACACATTTGCATGGTTCTACGCTAGGATAAGGCAGCAAAAATATAAATTTTTTGTCCAAACGTAGATCCACCCACGACTTCTTATGATCATTATAAGTTGTTGTTAAGGAATTATACCTTTCTTGGCGAGCAAGTATCACTATGTAGATTGGAGATATTGGTCCAAGAGCTAGCCACAAAAGAATCTGCCCTGTAGTTAAGACACATGAACTATAAAGAGTGTTCTAGAGAAAATTTTGCTAGAAATGGCCCTTGTATCACACCTTGTTCGTGGCGTTTTCCACTATCTAAAAATTATCTGCAGTAAAAACAAAGGTACAATTATTGTATTTGGTGAAACAATGAACAAATAATAAATTAGTAGTAAGAGAAGGGACTTGATTAAGGAGGGTGAGATGGTATTTAGCATGAGGGGTGTGGATAAAACATGGGCAAGTGTGTTATTGGTAAAGTGTGACCATTTCGAACACTGATAGTTTTGGTGCTAGGATATTGCAGTTGTGATAGATCATGCGTGACATTGGTATGGGCACCTGTATCAAGATACCAATGGCCAGATTGACTTTTGATGGTGACATGCATAAAGCAGAATTTGCTGGCTGAGTTATTTTCATAATAAGAGTCATCAAAAATCAAAAAGATACCAACAGGTAGCAGCAGAATGACCTCGCTTATCATAGATCTGAAAGATCAGAAGTTCGTGTGGAGGTCTACGGCCTCCCCCTCAACCGTTTCTTCAACCACCACAGGTAGGACCATTCTCGCAGCCAAAGGACGGTCGACTGCGACCTCCTCCTTGACCGTGAACTCGACAGCCTAAAGAAAAAAGTGTTGTGTTAGGCCCTCCACAAGTTGAATCAGCCACGCTCAGTTTTTTATTCCATCTCGAGATTAATTTGCTTAATGAGCCATCTAAAAAGTTGATTAAGGCAGATGTTTTCGTTTTGCATGCAGATATTTTGTTTAAAAAAGTACTAGACGCGGAGACCATAAATAACAACATCGAAAACAACACGTTCAGGGATCTCCTCATTCAAGGCATCAAACTCTGGGAGAATAGAGGCTACTTCATTAAGATAGTGAGTGTTATTTTTAGTAACTTTTCCAAGGGTGTGAAGCTTGTCCCGGAGTTGGTAATTATGTGCAGTTGACAGAGAATTGTAATGTGCTGCTAGAGCATCCCATAGAGCATTCAAAGTTGTGAAGCCCCGAGTGTGTTTGTGATTACTGAGGCAGACAACAGTGAGAAGACAAGGACAGAGCTGTGTATCAGTCATGATCCTTGAGGAGTATGAAGAATTAGGTGTGGCAACTTCTTCTTTCATCATCATCTTTGATGGTGGTTTCATAGATCCATTAATCCAACCAATTAGAAGATTAGCTTAAAGCGTAGTGCGAACATATAGAGACCACACACAACAATTGTATTTTTAAGTTTTTTGGAACAAGATTGTGGAGATTGCGGAGTAAAAGTTTTACTCCAGATGGAAGGGAGGCAAAAGCGTCCATCGATGCCATGGCGGCGCTCGACCGGAAATTGATAGGAGACCGGTAGAGGCACATTCAACGAGAAAAAACTAGGGTTTGGAGGAGGGAGACCTTTGCATGAATATCATGATAGGATTTGATAATAGATGGTCTTATATATTGAAATTGTAGGTTTCATCTCTCTATCTAGGGAATACAAACAAAATTCTAATAATAGTAGCAGAAGAATTATAGTAACTATACAATAAAAAAATAAGAGAATAAAGAAGGTAATTAAATACGAGTATAATACTCCGTATTTATTTTCTATTGGTTTGGAAGAGAGAAGAATTGTGTGAGCCAAATACTGATTTCCTAAAAATAAATTTGAAAAGGTATAAAGCTTGTTTCAAAAGAGACTAAAAGAGTGCAAAATTTCTTTTGAAACAAAAGGGTAGAAAAAATCAATTAAATGACAGTTCAAATTACCCCGAGTGTTTTTTCTTAGGTTGGAGGATGGAGTGAAGCATTTGGAAGATTCAGAGATGGGAAAAATGTCACATACTTGACACTTGCTTCGGTGAAGGGTGGATCTCATTTTGCTTCATCTACATCTCCATCTAAAGTTTTCACACTTTTCCAATCTTTTCTTAAGTCATCTCCTCTAAAAGTAGCCAACTAAGTGTTCATCACTTTATTATACATACTCCATATTCGCCTGTTTGTACAAATTTACATACTACAGTATATTATATTGTTGTGTAGTTTTAATATCTAGGGATGTTGCATGTAGTATACTTATTATTATACCTCCTCTTTAGTTATTGAGAAAATATGTAACGTAGTTTTAAATCCACTCAATAAAATTTAATTGAACCTAAAAATAACCAATACAGCTGGAAATAAGTTTTAAAAGTAGATCATTATATTTGATGTTAAAATGTTGTGTTATGTTGGGGAAATCGTAGATAACACGAATTAATTTAAGATTCGTGGACTGTGATGAATTTCTGAACTCCCCTGTAGCGTCCAAGCCGTTTGGCGGATTCTTATAGACGCGGAAGGAAGGAATCGATGCAGTCGTGTCTCATTTCTAAAACTCGCGTCTAGTCACGCGAAATTTAGAAGACACATTTTTTTGGAAAAAATTCTTTAACCCAAATTTCGAAAATTTAAAATTCATGTGAATTTTTAACACAACATCTCGACCCCAACCAGGGGCGCTGCCCCCTGGACCCTAGGGCTGTCGCCCCTTGAACCCTGCTCGGGGGAGCTGCTCTTGTACCCCACCAAGGGAGCGCTACCCCCTTGGAACTCTCGTTGAAAACAGAAGTTTTGTCATAACAAACTCAATGAAGCATGTACTCTGCATCACCAAAGTTTTTTTATGATTATTATGAGACCATTGGTCAAATAATTATTTCAATTATATTATACTCCCTCCGTCCCAAAAAGATTTACACGTTTCAAAAAAATTGTGTCCCACAATTTCTTACCAATTTCTATTAAAAAACCACTTTTACCCCTTACTTTTTGAAACCCTACCTATCACATCATACCTTTTTTCTAATAATCTACACATCACATCCTACTTTTACCCATCACATCAAGGGTATTTTTGGAAAGTCAACACAAAATTATCTCTCCCTTAATTTCAACTTTAGTCAAAATGGGTAACACTTTATGGAACGGAGGGATCGAGTAATATATAACATTCCTCCCCCATTTTAGTGTAATCCTTGATTAACTAAACAAATTCATAACAAACAATAAACTTATGCATAAATGATATATCATGATGATTGAATTTCATCTTAGAACATTATACATTTCAAATATTCGAATATTAGGGTATCTCTAAGGATTGAACCCTTATTATTCATTTGCAGACATGATGATAATAGACACGAAAGTTTACATACTTCATTGTTCTAACTTGACACTATTATTTAGTCGCCTTGTGTTCTAATTCTTCATAAGCATATCAAAGCAAACTCCCTACTTCTTGAAGCGGCTAAACTTCATGCTCATACCGGTAGCTCTTTTATTCTTGCACCTGCATATGAAATTTTTCAAATGAATTATTAAGAAAAAATACTTCAACCTCTTAATCTTATAGGTCTGAACACATACATTGGGATGATATACTTAATGTGTTCCAAACTCTAGATATTAAGATTTTCCACATTGAATTCAGCATTGAATGTCATATTAGATGGAATTTGGGAATCTTTGCATGAGAAATTTCGCTACCCATGTTCATTGAAACAATACCTCCAACGATGCATTACATTTGTACGTACAACTCTTATCCCTTTATCACTAATGTCTTAATATAATTTAACACAAGGTATGGAAAGTGTAACCTTGTTAGAGTTAAATCATTGGTTTACTGATTCTCATATTGACTTGTGGGATTCAAATAACATTAATATCATATATATTAATTTATCTGGGTATGGCCATACACTTCCCAAGTCATATCAATCAGTGGGCCTGAAGACATTACACTTCATCACAATGGAAAGGATAAATTCTTTCTACGTCATTCATGCATCTACATATGTTTAACTATATATCCAAAACATAACTGTACGTCCACAAGTATTTCAGATTACATTAAATATGAATCAAAGCATATAGGTCAACATATTAAAGATCATAATGACCTCAAGTATAAGGATAGTTATACCCTAATGGTCGAATGAGAATACTACTAACACATTTAAAATAATACCCATTTAGTATTCTCATGGTGGGGTAGTCTAGTACCATATCCCTGATATGTATCTGCGTATAGATTGAGATACCACAATATCCATAACCTATGAGACACAGCTATCTTGTCTCATACGTATTAGTTTTAGTATATTATGACGTCTCTATTATCATAATATTTGAATAAGGACATTTTGGACATAGCCTCTATTAATGTAACAACGTCATAATTAGAACATTATAGTTCTAATCTATGCTGCCAGAGAGCTAAGTGTCTGGACTAAAGCCATGTTTAGATACACAATATGTATAAACCATCTTTAGGGCCTTTTATTCTTGATAAATATTTAGATACTTTCATACATTGTCCAATTGGCGTCTAGGGCTCATTTATCCAACATATTCACCAAGGCATCATGCTCAGCTTCCATGGCCTGTCTCCAACGAGGGGCCTTCATGGCATGAGTGATGGTATGTGGTTCAAGCAGGAGTGGGAGAGGGAAGGCAGAATTGGAATATTGAGAGGAAGGATCGGTAGTAACAGGGGAGACCACATATTCAGGCCCAAAATATCAAGATGTGGGACGCCGAAGACGAGACGGACGTGTTGGTACTAGAATGGTTTGGACCTCGGCAATGGGCTTCGTGGAAGTGGGAGGAATGAACTATATGGGCTGTGCGGCTACAGGAGAGGAGGTTACAGTGCTATCATTTAACAAGGATAAAAAAGGTGAACTAAAATCTGTGGCCAAGGTTATTGTACGGACTGGAGAAGATAGAGATTTTGGAGGAACCACCAGATTCGGTGGGCGAGCCGGAGAGGACGGGAGCAGGCGGATAAAGAGAGGAATAAGGGTTGACATGCTCAACAAACATGACTTGACGAGAGATATAGACACGATTCGTTTAGGATTAACACACTTATAGGCGGATTGAGAAGTGGAGTAATCGAGAAGAACATGTTGACTACTCTAAGGTTGAATTTTAGTGGTATTGTAAGGTCGTAACCACGGATAACAGAGACACCCAAAAGGCTTGAGTTTAGTATAGTTCGGTGACTGACGAAAAAACCCATATACGGTGTAGAACCCCGGAGAATAGGAGTGGGGAGTCAATTAATGAGATAAACTGCAGTTTGAAATGCTTCTGGCTAGAAAAGTGTGGGAAGCCGAGCAGAGTCTAATAGCGAGAGACCTGTTTCAACAATATGTCACTGGCAGCTCTCAACTATACCATGGTGCTCTGGAGTATGAGGAGAATTTGTAAGGTGAGGAATTCAACACTTGAATAATAACGGTTTTAATTGAACAAACTCCCCATTATTATCAGAATAGATTGATCGAATAGAGGTGTAAAAATATTTCTCAACCAAAGTTTTGAATTGAGAAAATACTTGAAATACATCAGATATATGCTTGAGGGGGTAGAACCAAACATATTTGGTATATAATGATCTACGAAAATGACATAGGAAGAATAATCATGAAGGGAAGAATTTTTCCAACTCCATACATCACTGTATAACAATTGCAAAGGAAAGGTACTGAGTAGAATATTATTAAAGAATGGTAACTTATGACTCTTATGGATATGACAAGCACTACAGTATAAAAAGCATCAAATTGAGTAGAAGACACAGGAACTAGCTAATAGATCCCATTGCACTTTAATGGAAGGATGACCAAGACGATGATGCCACGTAGCTAAAGAAGTAGTTGTGGAGACATGAACGGAAAGAGATTTCGACGAAGCTGCATAGTAATACTATCAACGTTCCGGCCGCAAAATGGAAGCGCCCCCATTTTCAGATCCTTCACAGAAAAGGAATAAGAAAAATTCAACCGAAACATTGTTAGTATGACATATTTTGAGAAACTGACACAACATGTGGACGTAACTGTGGAATACAGAGAACGTTAGACAAACGTAAATTATGAGTGGGAGTGGGAATGGTAGTATGACCGACATGAGTAATTTGTAAACCCTTACCATAACCGTAACGGACCTCATCAGGAACCCCCGTAGTCAGAGAAAGCTTGAAGCGGGGCAAGACTAGAGCTTGTGTGATGACTCGCGCCAGTACCGAACATCCACGGGACCAGGTGAAATGGCATGGATTGACAACTATGCAAGAGGAGTCGGTGTAAAGTGGCGGCGCTGGGAGGGTACCATCAATATAACTGAGAAGGTTATATCTAATCAAAGTGGAATGAACTTTTTGTTGCCAAACCAAGAAGTTGACAGTGGTGAGTTTAATCGGAAATGCGTCTTGGCATGAATCTGAATGACCGGAGTTTATTCGTAATGGTGGCGGATGTCGGAATGATAGCCATGGCAACAATGTGCAGAGAGGATCAGAAAAAAGTGATTAAAACAAAGATTGCTCTGATTCCATATAAACGAGAGAATTCTTGACAACTTTATTCACAGTCCTATGGCTTTATATAGCCATGAAGATAAACATACACATTAGAGGAATTAGGATCTAAAGTAACAACTCTTACTACTAGATAAATATAGTCTAATAATACAAATAATATTGACACAGGATAAGACGCATAGAATAATATCAATAACTAATGGAGTTGTTCTTTAGGCTTAATAATATAAAAGCTATTTTGACATTATATAGGAGCTATTTAAATTTTAAAAGCTACTCCCTCCGTCCCACAAAACTCTTCTCTTTTCTTTTTTCATCCGTCCCAAAAAATACTTCTCTTTTCTTTTTAAAAAGTCACTTTTACCTCTATTAATTCTTAAGCTACCTATCACTTCACACTTTTTCTCTATTAATCTATACATCGCATCTTACTTTATCCATCACATCAAAGGGCATTTTTGAAAAGTCAACACCAAAATATACTCTCATTAAATCCTTTAAAAATCAAAATGGGAAGTTTTTTAAGAGAGCAGGGAGTATAATATAAAAGCTATTTCCACGAATTTCCACGACTCATTTTGACATGATATAAAAGCTATAAAAGGTAATAATGTTCAAAACTTTCCACGGTTCATTATAAAAGGTACTAATGTACAAAAAAGTTCCATATTTAAATTCCCTTATCTTTCCGTCGCTCGTTATTATTTCCATGATATAGGAATTGTTTTATTCTCGCCATTTTTATCCTACTATTTTTATTACTAGTAGAAGATATGTTTTT